ATATCTTGTAAGGCCTTCAAAATTAACTATGCCAAAATGCCTCGCTAATATATAATTCTATGTAATTCACATATGTGAATGTAAAGCAGTGAATTTTTTAAGTGCTTAGCATCCACAAATGAGTATACAACTAAGGGGTGTTTAACGAGTCTAGACAACAAATAGCCTCTTCAATTTGTCAACTATTACACCAACTCTGACAAAAATGAGTCAACCTCTATACATTTTCACAGGTATAATATTACTACTTCACTCAGAAACAGCATCAAAACTTCTAAACCTCCAAACAATATGCATTCATCGTGCACTAATTGACCTCGTGAGCAATCGAACAAAATAGTTTCGAATTTCGGGCAGAACTCGCTGGATCAGCTGTGGATACCTGGAATACTATAAATCTCAGAAGAAGGCAAAAATGTAGCTTTTAAGGGAGTTATGGCTAAATAAACAAATTATCCTAAGGTCTAGTGTAATTTTCCAAAATGTCTGTTTACTTTTTTTGTTATGTAATCATAAGCACATGTCCAAAATCTTGATATTTGAGAACACAAATGGAGAGCAAACAAACAATATTAATGAGAAGTCGAATAAAGGGATGAAATGGAACGTACCAGGGCAAATTGCATAAACTGTCAAACTTTTGTAGAATAAACAAGATACATGCATGCCTCAAGGACAAAGCATTATATGCCTCCGACAACTCGAACATTAGAGACACGTTCTCCACGGATATATTCTGAAGAACAAAAAAAAAAGCAATAAATATTAAAAACAGAGATGGAATATGAAATATGTCGACAAATTAAATATAGCTTTTCTCATCAGATATTTTTACCTGTGCAATGGCATACTCGCATAGACGCTTTAAACCTTCTAACAAATACTGATCAGCGGCCATCAGAAGATCCTGGACAATATCTAAGTTGACAACAACGGATCCTGTGTATATGTATCTACAAACCAAAAAGAAGATGAGAAATAAAAGGCAATTTTACTGTGGAAGCTAAGAGTTGGAATAGAACTGAATGTCTATTTCACCTCATCATCAACTCAAAAATATCCCATCTGATATTAGGTATTTCAATGTCCTTGGCATCTCTTTCCTGCAGCACATTTAATCAATTTCAGTTATGTTAATTTAACAACTTCGAAGAAAATAAAACAATCACAAGGTGATATCAGTTTGTTTTAACAAGTGTAAACATAAGAAATGTTCCATAATTGCAAAATATCGTGTAGTACTTGCTGGCATATGCTTTCATGTTGACAGACTGAAAGCAAAGGATAACCAGATTGAATATGTATTTTTACATTAGACCTACATAAAACATGATATGATAGCAGACTAGTTATGCAGGTAAACCAAAATATTATACAAAGCACTTTACGCTCACCCTGTAACCACCATCAAACATAGCTCTAAATGCATCACAAGAAGCTAGCAGACAAATTCGGTGCGCATAGAACCGTTTTCCTAGTGATGACAATAAAAAAAATGTTACAATAGAAGTATGATAATGCAACATTAATTTGAAGTTGGGGTTAATGTCCCACCTTCAACCAAAAATGTCACATCGGACAATGTGGGATTATTCACAAACTGCTCCCCCAAATATACCTGCAGCAGAACAGAAAATAATCCATCAGTACAGAGAGTAAATTGAAATTACTTCACATTAGTGATTAAATAAGGTCACAGCTCCAATGCAGGCATCATTCATAAGAAGCATTCAGTCTTAATAATTACACAACTATAACAGAGTCACAAATCTAAGTTTTAAACAAAATTACAGTAAAATATTGTTTGCTAGAAGGTATGTAACATATGTTAATGGCAAGCTTACAGAAAGATCGGTTCGTACTCTGAAAAAATGGAATTTTATTATAAATATATTGGCTTCCACTAATCAGACATGGTTTCAAAAAATTTCAGTTTCTCAAAGAGGGGAGTGTATGTAATAGTAAAAAGAATATTAAGCATGCACTGCATGGAAGATAAAATTCCTACAGGAAGAATAAGACATCCAACATCCGATTTTCCTGCAGAAACAGGTTTCTCTCCTCCTTAAACCAGCTATGCAACACCAAGAAAAATGGCATGACTAACGCTCACATCTTTAACATCAAACCAAGTAGGACCACAAGTTTTTGTATGTTAAAAGCAACATAATAGCAGAATCTAATGTGTGTGAGTAGCTGATAAAAGTTTTATGCTGGCTGTCAAGTGCCACTGCCAACTCTCTTTTATCCAGGCTTGGGGAAAGCTGTATGTAGGCAGGTTAAATTGTCTATAAACAGGCAAAACTTCCAAAAGTGTAATTCAATAAAAATCCCCATAGGCATTTCTACAATAAATGTGAACTAATCAATCATAGACTATCACATTATGGCAAGACAGTTCAATTCTTATCCAGAGAGAACAAATTATCACCTGAGGGATTGGGGAAGGAGGAGCCACATCCATTAGAGAAAGTGAGTTGGCTTTATCAGCTAATCTGCATAAAGCCATAGAACAATCTCTTTGATGCTTTAAGTTAGTTGACACAAGGAGCTCCAAAAGCAAATCCAGTCCTGCCACAATCATATAGTTGCGGACCAGGTGAATTACAGTCATGATTCACCGCAGGAAGTATAAATGCAGGACATATGGTAAACAGCATACCATTGTTATCAATGAAGATAATCTTATGGTCATCTGAAGAACAAAGGTGCGCTAGAGTCAAAGCTACTCGGCTCTTAACAACTTTCTCTCCAATACGCATCAAGTATAATAAATGGCGCAATACCTGACCACAGAAAAATAAAAAAATAAAAAAATTGTAAAGTTCATGATCTCCGCTGAAAACCATTGCACAAGAAAAGCACTAAAGGCTTCACAAATTCACAAATAAATTCAACAAAAAATCCTTTTTTTTTTCTTTTTTTTTTTTTTT